TAAGACACAAAAAACGGAAACCGTTAAAGTCAAATAACAAAAACAACAAACGTTACACTGAGAGAAAAGCAATCAAGTATTACCAAGCTGAAGCCAATACCAAACCAGAAAGTTTCAAGTATTAAATATTTTATTAGAGAGCCAGACTTTTTAAGTACGAAAAAACTTGATTTAAGCATCAATTTCTTTCTTTAAGAGTGTGTAAAATTTTGTTACACACAACTGAGAAAGAGTATTAAAATCGTACGAGAAATCTTGATAAAAGTATGCCATTTTTTAGTTTGACATTTTAACTACTAAAAACCTAGATTCAAGTATAAAATTTATGTACACACAGCTTGAATTAAGTATGAAATTCATATTTTAAGTATAACTTTTTATGCACAAAGAATCTTGATTAAAGTACAGCAAAAAATAACTGTAAACATGGTACAGGCATTCTATGCATTATCAAGATGGCTTTTTCAGTAAAGAAAAAAAAACTTGATTCAAGCATATTATTTTTGTTTCTAGTATGAATTTTAAAAAACTATGAAAATCTCTTATTTAAAGTAACTTTTTGCTTGACTCAGAAATTGTATAACTTATTTAAAATGAAGTACGAATTGATTTAAGTACTTATATACTTATTTAAAGACGATTGAGAGCTAATCTGAAATCTAGTAAGAATTTGTGAGAGAAATGCTGGGCATTTTTTATCAATGAAAGAAGTGCGCATAATGCTTGTAAATAGATGCCCAATTTTCTTTCAGTGTACTTTTCAAATCGCTTTCAAATTGTTCAAGTTGCTGTTGTTTTAGTTGTTGTTGCTGTTGTTGTTGCTGCTCTTCGTCCCGCTGCCTTTGTTAATGAGCCGTGCGCCGTTGTTTACCCCCTCTGCTGGCCCACTCGAAAGCGAAGATCAATGGATTTTGCTGGCCAGCCAAGTCAAGCCAAGACCAGGTTGCTACCAAAACTCAAATGTTGCTGTTGTTGCTGCTGTTGTTGCTGCTGTTGTTGCTGCTGTTGTTGCTGCTGTTGTTGCTGCTGTTGTCTACCACTTTCGTTGTTACTGTTGTTGATTTTGAGGCTCTGAGCGATTTTTCATTGGAATAGAAAGTGAATTGAATTTGTTTTCAGCCGCGGCCTCTGCCTAGACTCTTGTTGTTGTTGTTGTTGTTGTCCCATTGCTCTTGAGTCGCATTCGTCTTCATTGGTGTTTACAATCAAAACAACATTAGTTGTCGAAAATTGGACCATGTCATTGACCTTTCGCCTGGCCCAGAGCAGTGAGAGTGTTTTGCTGTTTATATTTTTTCCGATTTTTTTTTTCCCGCTTGGAGAAAAGCGCTGGGAGTTGTTGGGCTTGGCTAATGGATTTTTCTCGAATGCACGTGAAAATTGTGAACATTCAAATATGCAAACGAAAGCTTACAGAGAGGCATATTTCATTTATTAGAAGAAAATATCAAAGAAAAAATCTTTTTAAAAAAATTAAGCTTACAAGTAGAAGACTTTTAAGAATGTTTGGATGCGTTGGAAAATTGTGCAAGGAAAATATAGAAAAACATACAAAAATCAACTTTATTTTTTAAGTACAATATTTTAAAGGATTTTTCTCGAATGCAAGTAAAAAAAGGTTTACACTAAAAAAAACCCCAAGAGAAAGACATATTCAATTAAATTATATTTAAACAGAAACAAAGAACGAGGTTTTTTTTAAGTTTCGAATTTTTTATTTTTTATTAAAATAAATAAATAAAACTTAGAAGATATATTTTTATCAGAGAATCAATTAATGTAACAAAACAGAAGCTTACAAATAATATGACAAGCTTTTCAAATGGAAGACGAATAATAAAAACGAGGATGGAAAATTCGAGGGTATTTAAAAAAACTGGATTTCATTAAGTAGAATTAAAAATAATGAAAGTTCTTAAACTTATATTTAAGAAACAATTTTAGAGGATTTTTAGTAGGGAAAGGTTAGCATTAATTTTTAAATACATATTTATTTTTTAGTCCCATGTTTTTCATATTTAAACTGAATAATTGTGCACAAAGTATTTTGAATTTTGAAAAATATAATACAATCTAAAATGAAAATAAACATGCATGCATATATATGTATGTATGTATATAGAATACAGATGCATATGTATTGAGTAGCACACACATACATATGTATACGTATATCTAGCAGAAGCTCGCACCCAAAAACTAGTCATAGGGGATTCCCCTCTAAATATATATATATTAAAATCGTATCCTGTTGCCTTTTTGTCGTTTTAACATTTATTTTTAGCTTTGGATCAAGAGATTTCTTTTAAAAACGCTGTAAATTAAATTAAATAACTTACCAACAGCTCGTGCCACAACAAGCAGACGACAACAACTACAATTAACAGTTTGTTCACCTTTCGCCTAATTATCAAAATAAATATACAAAAAAAAAATAAAATAAATATATATATATATGTATAAAAAAGTAAAAAATTGAGCTACAAGACGCGTGCACGGGCAGCGCTGACGGCGACTGCGACTGCGACTGCGAGGCGTCGCAGCGAGCCGGCAGAGTCGACAACTTCAATGAAATCAATTTTACGATAATAATTTTTTGAAAGCACAACAACAACAGCAACAGCAACAACAACATTAACAACGGCAACTGTGTAGCCGAACCGCTTCATAAACATTGAATCAGCGCCAGACCCCAGCGCAGTACCGTTGGAAATTTCTTGCTTTTTCTTTTCTCAACGTATGTATGTATATATGTATATACACACATATAGGCACATTTATAAAATGTTGTATTTGTATGCGTATTTCTTTTTTTTCGTTGTTATTGTCTTGCAAAAATGTAGGTCAAGTTATATGGTGAGTGTCTCTCTCGCTCTCCCTCTCTCTCTCCCACTCTGTGCGTGTGCGTGTGTGTGTGTGGGACGCTGACAATTTGGTACAGACAGTTCCAGAGTCGGTCAGTTAGTCGGTTAGTCAGTCGTGTTGGGCTGGGGGCGGGTCGTTGCGGTGCGGTGCGGTGCGACAGGTGGGCCGCGCAGACTTTTCTAGTCGCTGCATCCCAGGGCAACTTTCACTTAGAAAGTTCTGCTTGCGGTTAAAGCCGTTGTTTATGTTGATTTTTTTTTTTCGGCTGCTTTTGAGGGTGCCATAAATGACAAGTTAATATCGCTGCGGCTGCGGTTAAACTGGGTCAAGACGTGGGCCTGGGAAACGATCAGCACGAAGATTGCGCAGATAAGCAAGCGATCAAATGTTCAAGCGCTCAAGCGTTCAATATGCTTGCACTTCATGTGCGCTTCTCGTATTAATTGCATTTTCTTGTTGTTGTTGTTGTTGTTATTTTTGCTTTTTTCAATGCAAAACGCGAGAGCTTTCCGTTAGGCCAACCTTGCCAGCAACAGCTGCTCTAGCACACACTCTCTCTCTCTCCCTCTCTCTCTTGCTCTCTCTCTCTATCGCGTGCGCTCTCACTAGATTTCCCTGAACTTCATGCCGAAAAGCTAACGTGTCTATTTTTAGCACGACACATCCGCGTCGTGCGGCTGCTGCTGAACTTCCTGTTGCAGCAGCTTACTGAGCGCGAGCTTTTGCGCTCTCTCGTGCGCTCAGAATGCAAGTTCTGAATGCATATGCATTGAGTGTAAAGCTGCTCAATGATATACGTGAGCTTGTATGCGACAGAGCGAGCAAGAGTGAGGGAGATGCCGTTGTTGTTGCTGCTATTGTTTGTGTTGTTTGTTGTTATTATTGACCTAATCACTTGTGGAGCACAAACGAACATTGAACTTTTACTTCCGCATGCAATTTAATGCACGCGTTGTGCGCTCTCGCTGCTGCTGCTGCTGCTGCTGCTGTTGTTGTTGTTGCTGCTGTTGTTGTTCTATTGATCATTTTGCCATTTTAGCCGGCAGCGACCGCCCAGTGACATTAATTAATGCACACAGATTCATCAAATATGCGCTGCCCGTTCGGAAAATCATATTTTATGGCCCCAGCGGCAATTTGTCTGCGACAGGCCCTAGGATCAGCTGCAACTGTGTGCGTGTGTGCCTGTGTGCGTGTGTGGAAAATCGCGTAATTAAATGCGACAATTTGTTGCGCCTGAAGGGTATCTCGACGCCGAACATAGCCCATAAGAAAAATCGGAATAGTTTTTTTTTTCAGTTTTTTTTTTTTTTAAATATGATTTCTTTTAATATTATATTTTGTATGTGTGTTTGTTTTTGTGTAGGTTTTTTGTTGTTGTATAAATAACATACACTTAAATGCTAAAAATTGTTTATATTTAATAATTTTTACACATAAATAAAAGAAAACGCTAAGCTTAGGAAAAACGTTGCAAGAAATGTTGACAAAGATAAATGATAAATATGTAATTTCGTTGTTTTTTTTTCTTTTTTCAAGATTGAAACTTTTGAAAATGTTGGCGCATAAATATGACACTAAATGTAATACTTTTTTTTCGCATTTCTTCAGAAACAAAACTTTTGATAAATATATATATGATAATAATAATATATTTATGTAGCATAACATATGTATGTGTATGTGTGTGTATGGATATGCGAAATGAACAGTGCTGCCAATGCGGCTCTATTAAAAAAAGCTAAAAATAGCTAGATAGCTAAATAAGCTACTGTGCTCTGTTAATAGCCAAATTTAGCTGGAAAATAGCCGAATTGGCAACACTGGCCATGATTTAGGATAATATGTGTAGCAATTATCGCTTCTTGCTTTTTTTTTTTTTTTTTTGTGAACAACTCAATGAACAGTTATTTAATCTAAATAATAATAATAATAAATAATAATTTATGTATAATAGTAATTATGCATATATATAAAAAAAAGTACTAAATACAAAGAAAATTGTGGCTGGCTACTTTCTGCGGCGCCGGCAGCTGGAAGTCTCCTCGCGGCCACGCAGGCGCAACCAACGCGCGCCCCCAATCATGTCCAGAATTTTGGATAGTTTTTTGTTGTTGTTATTGTTGTTGTTATTGTTTTTTGGATAAGGCAAAGGCGGTGTTTGGATGTGTGGGCGTGGCGGCGCCTAGTACTGCCCGGTAGGATCCAGCGCCAGCTGCCGCTGCTTGTGGCGCGTGTCACGCGACTCACGCGGCCGCCGATAGGTGCCCGTTGGATCCAGATCGAGCATGTTGCTGTTGCTGTTGCTGTTGTTGCTGCTGCTAGCAAAAAGTGTGACCAAAGCCTGCAATGCTAGTAGGTGCCAGTGGGATCCAATGCCAGCGACATTTTGTAGCCTTTCTTTTGTGTAAATCGAATTCGTTTTGGAAAAGTGCAAGCTTTAGTATTGGCCCGTGGGATCCAGGTAGGCGGCCATGGCTGAGAATTCGTGTAATTCTTAAGGCAGCTAGATATTGTTATTAATATTGGCCGGTAGGATCCAGGTAGGCTGCCATTTGTATGCCGTGTAATTGAACAAAAATACACGAATGATATCAACGCGAATTTATTTATTTATTAATTTTTTATTTTTGGGCCCTGCTGCTCCTTTGTTTTATTTAAATTCTGGTTCTCTGCTCAGATGTTGTTGTTGCTGTTGTTGTTGTAAGTTCTTTTATTATCACCAGTTGTTATTGACTGATTATACAGCAACACACAGCACGCGTGTGTGTGTGTGTGTATATGTTTATATTTAGCTTTTTGTTGCTCTTTTTCGTTTTTTATTTATTTTTTTGTCTATATTTTCTTGTGGTTATGATCGAGTCACTGACACTTAAAATCCATTAAATACTTTTGTTATATAATTTAAGCGGCTGACTAGCCTAGCTTATTGTTCTTAGTTTGTTTGCTTTAGCTGATTAAACCGTGCAAAAAGATTGTCTCTATTTTTGTTTTGTTTTATTTGAATTTTTTTTTGGCGTTTATCAAGCTAGAATACAGTCAAAAACTTCACAAGTTATTTAAACAATACAAAATTTGTGAGTTCGCCAGCGTTTTGAACTTTGCTCTGATCTGCACACGTCGAACGTTGTCGATCTTATGATTCAAGACGTTGTCCATACAGCGTTATTTATATGAATCTGAGCGCGTTGCCACGAGAGAGCCTGAGCGAGAGAGCGAGGGGAAGAGCGCACGCTACGCACAGAGAGAGAGAGAGAGAGAGAGAGAGGGCGAGAGCCAGTCGGAAGCTTAATCGACTCGTCTGGCGCTGTGCAGGCGCAAAAGAGAGCGCAATAGAGCTGAGCAGGTGTGTGCCGTGCTCTTAGCTGTTGCTCTTGAAAATTGGCACAGCGCGCGCGAGAGCGAGAGCGGCGGCAAAATTCATTCATAAACCTCTCTCACTCTCGCGCGCGCTCTCTTAATGGTTGACTAAAGGCATGAGGGCAAGACGCTCACGCACACACACACACACACACACACACACACACACATATGGCCGCCTCCGCCTGGGTTTCATTCAGAAAACAGCTGTTTTTGTCAAACTGCGACACGATCGAGTGCCCTCGTTATGCCGCTGTCGCTGTGTGTGTGTGTGTGTGTGTGTGTGTGTGTGTGTGTATATGCTAGGCAGGTAGCGCGCTTGCCTATTGGTGCATTTTCATTGAGATCCTGCCGCTAGGCTCCACCCACGTCTAATTGATCTTTAGCCATGCCAAATGACTTGGCCAAAAATGTATTTAGTGCGTTGTTTTTGTTTTGTGTGTGTGTGTGTTTTTTTTTTGCCGGTCAACAAGTAGCCCGGCAAATACACATGTTAACTGTTTGTCGCCGCCGACTGAACCTGGCCAAATACCCCCTGCTCATGTGCCATAAGCGGCAAATTAATGATCTGTGAGCCGCAGCTTGACCACATCGACAGACGCTGCCCACTTTGCGTGACATTTGACAGTGGCCTAAGCCGTCGCCAGGGCAAGGCTTAAGCCGGGCAGCCCATAAAAAGGATAAACGTGCGGCATGAGTCAGCGGAACGACGCATGCTTCCGCGAAATGCGATGCCGCAGACAACAGACTCGGCAAAAGACAAGGCAAGTGCACTCTAGTCGGGCGTGCTCGACTAGCAGCTACCCTGAGAGCCCAGCCCAGACCAAACATTTTAACCTAACAACAAACAACTAGATTAAGTTCGGCACAGTCCTCATGATATTACAGGCCTTCTTCTATACATGGTGTACACACAAAAAACAAACAACTAAGTAGATTAACTTTGGTGTTAAAAGTATGATCCTTATGATAGATATATATATATATAAACCGATCTTTATGATAGTACGGGCCTCTTTAAAAAAACAAACAGATGTTGCTTGACTTCGGTGCTTGAAGTGCGATCATTATGATCCTGCAAGCATTCCATGCTCCTTTTATAAGTATATATACACAAAAAAAAAACTTATAGAATAACTTCGGTGCTTATGGTCCGATCGTTTTGATATTGCAAGCATTCTAGCCTAAATTTGAATACTTAAGCCTTCGGTATTTAAAGTCCGATCTTTATGCTATTACAAGCATTCCAGTCTCCCTCTATATATACAAACATCTGAGTTATCTTCGGTGCTCAGAGTCCGATCTTAATGCATACATACAAGAAAATTAACATCTGGTATAACTTCGGTGCTTATAGTCCGATCTGCCTAGTTTTAGGGGGAATACAGTTGGATTTAGAATTAAAACTAAAGTATATTTTATAAGATCGGAAATGCTTGCAGCTGCCACATGATATACCCCCTTTTGTTCAAAGGGTTGAGGGTATAGAAGTCTGGCAAATTAAAAAAGAAAAGAAATAAGCAAAAAATGTTGCAGTATTGCAGTTTTCCGCCTTTATATTTTTTTAGCCCAAAAAACACGATGTAAAGGACATGTAAGTCAGCTGGCGCAGCAGTTTCTCAAGATACAATGGGAAATATAAATCCTTTCGTTTTATTGCAGCCAGCCAGTTGACACTCAAAAAGGACTTCCGGCTGTTGCCGGGCACGCGCTGCCAGCCAATCCTTTGTGGCGCTCCAGAGGAGCAGCAGCAGGAGCAGGAGACGAAGGCGTAGGAGAACGAGTAGGCGTAGATTCTTAAGTGGCTGGGCGTGGCAGCAGCAGCAGCAGCAGCAGCTACTTGGCCTAATGCATTTTCGCCGTTAGCCTGTTTGCCCAGTTTTTACCTGAAAGCGAACCCCAATTTGGGTAACTTCTGCTGTGACCGGATATGCGGCTGAGTTTTTCTTTTTCGTTTTTTTTTTTTTGGCGCTTCCGTTTTCACTTTTCGTACAGTTTTTCCTTTCTATTTTTTAACGCTATCGAATTCGTTGCGCCTCGCACCTTTTGTCTTTTGGCCACGTGCCACATGCAGGAAAATTGTAAAACGCATCCAACATTTGTTGGCACAACTGTCTCTCTGTCTCTCTACCCTCCCCGCTCCATCGCTCACTGGCCCCTCGTCCTGGCCGGCATTTGTATTGTAATTCGATCGAATCGGGATATTTGCTGTTTGTGGCGAACAGATTCACTTTTAACGGCTGCTCTTCGGCATTCTTATGCAATGTTTGCTTAGATCAAAAAAGAAGAAGAAGAAGCGTGGCAACAAGGTGATCTTCAGTTGGAGGCGACTTTTTAAAAAAATGTGGGTCAATGTTCCGAGCGTGCGTTTTTCTCGTCTTACTCTATTTTTGCACATAAAACATTTTTTTTTTTTTTTGGTTTTTCAATTTTGAATTTTTTGTTGTACTTGGACTTGGACTTGGCCATGCGACTGCAGCACTTTATCTGCAAAGTAAATTTCTTTTTATTTTGTATGTTTTTTTTTCTTCAAATTCAGCTGTTTTCATAATAAGCAATGCCACAAACTTGTTGCCGCGTTGACAATTCGCTCTGGCCAGCAAATGCTGCCAAATCGCAGTTGGCCTCCGTTAAGATCTGAAGTTAAGAGCGACTCTTTCGACTAGCCAAGTTGCAGCATTTAACTGTAAACTGCAAAAAGTGTTCCAAAAAAAACTCGACTTGTGGCAAGGAAAATATGTGCTGGCAGCCAGATTTGAATGAAGTCCAGTTCGACTCGTCAAAGCAAACTTGAACTGTAACTATTTTCTCTCTCTTTGATGCTGAGTTATTTAAATTTAAATTTTATTTTATTATCTTAATTTTTTAGTGCCTGAAATTATATTTCAATTACATATTCTGCAACTTTTCTATATGAAATTGATTTTACTCGAAATTCTATGGAAAATAAATATTATGCCTCTGCTTAAATTAAATTAAATTAATTGGAATTAAATTGTCTTGTTACTAAAATTGTATCTTAATTAAATTACAGATGCGTTTGCGGATCAAATATCTTTCATTTTACACCCGAGTTGAGGCTCTTATTTGTTTGTTTTTTAATACATTTTTATATATATATTCGCAGTAATCAATTTCTTGGAAGCGATTGCAAAATGCTGAAAAGAACTTAATCTCAGTGTTTGTGCTTGGAGTGAATACTTAGGTTTTAATATTATTGAAATATATATTAAAAACATTTTATTTGTGGAATACATAGACATTTGATCTATCCTGAATTGTACAAACAATTTTTGGCGCACTGGCATATCGAATATAACCCACTTAAGTCGTGCAAAGCCGGGTAATTTCTTCAAGTATTTATATCAAATTTGCTAGCAGCTTTGCTAGACTTCTGTTTAGTTGTTTCTGTGCATTCTGCCAGCTTGTGTTTCAAGCTTTGTAAATAAATAGTTAATATCTTTTGAGCGGGGGCTATTCGAAAAAATTGCTCATAGAGTTCAAGAACTCTTATCGGGGCAACTGCAGAGCGCTTTAAATTCCGTTCTGTTTGATTATTCATTCAGCAAACGGATTGGAATGGCTTCTAGAGAATTCTGTGTGCGCAAACATATTTCGAAAGTTCGAATTTGAAACGTTTTCCAATTGAGAAACCCAGAGTGCTCCAAATCTGGGACTGAGTCACCAACGCAGCTCAACCACATCCACCTCTTTGGCACGGCTGTGGCGAGGGGAAAGCCCGGCTGAACCATGTGCCGAGCGATCTCTGCGGATTTTCGTGGGTGATCCACGTGCTTTGTTGTTAATTTTGTCGTTGCGGCCGTATAAATTACGTGTTGAACTTTTACTCCAGTTTTGACAGTCGAACAGAATTAAATCAAATAAAACGTGATTGCTGCCGTCTGATGATGGAACTTTTCCTCGATTTCCCAACTCCGGCCAGCAGCTGCCGCCGGAGCCGCCAATCGGATCGACTACCTGAGCCTGTGCCTGGGCCACAGTCGTAATGACACGCAAATATGTTAAACCCCACCGCGCGACAATTGAATATGCTAAACGACATCTACAAGAAGAAAAAAAAACCAAAAAAAAAAACAGGGTATACAAAAAACCACCTCATAACAGGCGCAACGTAGTTGACGCAAAATGCAAATACACAAATCGAAGCCGTTTTTTTTTCTCGCGCTCCCGCAAAGGGTATTTTAGTTTTCTTAGGAAATTTGTAGCACCTGGATCAGCACGACAAACTGTCTACCCTATGCTAACAACTCTCTCAGCTATTGTCATATATATGAGAGCTGACTGGATTTGTTGCCATATCTTTGCAGAACTTTATGTGTTTCTGGTTTCGTATAGCTGCCAAATCTTTGGAGAACTAAGCATATAGCTGCCATATCTTTCAAGAGTTTACTTCTTGTTTTGTCTCAAATAGTTTCCATATCAATAGTTTCCGCATCTCTTCCTTCTCCTAGATAGTCTTGGTCTTTAGTCTCAGTTTTCGCTCCTGGGTGTGTTGGACGGGATACTTCATAGAGATCTGTAGGCAAGATGCATATCTATATATTATTTATAGGGTATTTAGGCTTCGTCATGCCAAAGCTAGTTCTGCTTTTTGTCAATTTTTCTCCATCAAATCTTTGACTTGTTGCCGAAACTGAATGGAAAGGAAATTAGATAAGATACATTTGCAGCGGCAGGTCGCGGGGGGAGGGGGTAACCCCTGATAGAGTGTGGGGGAGGAGGGGGGGGGGGGGGATATGATCCGTTAAT